GTTACGTGTCGCGTTCTCATCGTACGCATCCTACCTTGTATAATAAGATGATGTAATAAGTAACGTTTTTTCGCCATTTTGTTATTTCGTTTGTCTCCCAGTTTTATTTGTAGAATAATCCTTAAAAGAGAAAATAATCAATTATGAAATAGATTGTTGTAGAGTCATGGTAGCTTCGTCCACTCTGCCAACTCGTCTTCTCTTCCAAATACGTTAGAGGTTAAGGTCACTTCTTATCAAGAAAAAGATAGAGAAATTCGAAAGCAGAGGCCAGAGAGACAGTATCCAGTTCTGTTCTTGTCGAGAACAATGTCTCCGATCAACAAAGGAGTTGTAATCTTGGCTCTGTTTCTAACGTTGACCATGGTAGTCAACGGGTTTTCATCGAGATTCTTCGTGGAGAAGAGCAGCGTCACCGTCCTTAACTCCTGGTCAATGGGAGCTAAGCATGACGCAGCCATCGCTGATTTTGGCCTCCCAAACTACGGCGGTTTCATGATCGGCTCCGTCGTGTACGCAGGCCAAGGATGCGATTCCTTCAACAAAACCTTGAAGCACAAGTCTCCTTATCCGACCATCCTCCTCATTGACCGTGGAGGTAAAACTCCAGAGTTCCCAGTGTTGTTTTATGGCAATTTATTGATCATAATTGAGTCTTGTTCGAATGTTCTTGGCTCTGTAATTGGAAATTTTGTCTGTTTCATCAAGAATTTGATTAAAAGTTTGAAACTTTTTTGTTGACATCTCTGCGTCTTTGTGATTGAAGTTTGGATGATAAGAGATTTGAGGGTAAGTGAATCCAACTCTCTATTCTCTTTTCCTTTTTAGTGTGTAGCTTTGCTTTGAAGATATGGAACGGGCAAAAATCCGGTGTAGCGTCTGTTCTAATAGCTGATAACATTGTTGAGCCATTGATAACAATGGATTCACCAGAGGAAACCCAGGGTGAAGATCCCGACTTTATAGACAAAATCAAGATCCCTTCGGCTTTGATCCTTCGTTCTTTCGGCGATAGCCTCAAGAAAGCTCTTAATAGAGGGGAAGAAGTAATCTTGAAGATAGACTGGAGTGAGTCCATACCAAACCCTGATGAGAGAGTTGAGTATGAGCTATGGTCTAACACTAATGATGAATGTGGTGTACACTGCAATGAACAAATGACTTTCATAAAGAACTTCAAGGGAACGGCTCAGATTCTCGAAAAAGGTGGTTACACTTTGTTCACACCTCATTACATTGCTTGGTTCTGTCCCAAGGAGCTTAGACTTAGCAGACAGTGTAAGACTCAGTGTATTAACCAAGGGAGGTATTGTGCACCTGACCCTGAGAAAAACTTTGAAGATGGATATAATGGGAAAGACGTCGTTTACGAGAATCTGCGACAGTTATGTGTTCATAAAGTAGCTAAGGAGAAGAACAGTTCTTGGGTTTGGTGGGATTATGTGACAGACTTTAACATCAGGTGTTCTATGAAGGAGAAGAAATACAGCAAAGAATGCGCGGATAATGTCGTAAAATCTCTCGGTAAAAAGGCCTTTTCATTTTCCATGGAGATATCACAATCTGTTTGCATCTCTTTCTTTAGCAGTCTCAGGGATTTTTGTTTATTTTCTTAGGTTTGTCTCTTGAGAAGGTCAAGAAATGTATCGGTGATCCTGATGCTGATGTAGAGAATGAAGTTCTTAAAGCCGAGGAAGCTTTTCAGGTTCGCGGTTTCTTCAATTCCTCGAGCTGTTTCTTCTTCTTTCTTTCATGACATTTTGAAGTATAGTTAGGCCAAGAGAATCGCGGGGTTATCACTATATTTCCAACATTGATCATCAACAATGCTCAATATCGCGGTAAGCTCTTTCTTCTCATCGATCATCAAAAAGTTTGAAGGTGTTAAGATCTTATAATGTTCCATGCTCAGGTAAATTGGAGAGAATCGCGGTGTTGAAGGCTATATGCTCAGGATTCAAGGAGAGAACCGAACCTTCAATATGTTTAAATGCAGGTCAAGTCACTTCCCTCAAGTAAGCTAGTCATATTCCGTGAAGAACATACTAAAAAATTCCTTCTTGATCCATTTTAAAAACAGATATGGAGACCAACGAATGTCTTGAAGCAAATGGAGGATGTTGGCAAGATAAAATATCTAATGTAACGGCTTGCAAGGTATAGTGAGAAGGGGAGATACCGATAATTTTACCCGTCTATTTCATCTCCCTTTTCATGGATAACATGAATTTTATTAGGACACATATAGGGGAAGGGTATGTGAGTGCCCTGTTGTCAATGGTGTTCAATATAAAGGAAATGGTTATATCTCCTGCAAGCGTATGTTCTTGAATTTATCTTCTTTCGATATAATCTCATTGCACATTTTTGTTCCCTGGTCTAAGAAAAAAAATCATCTTCTTGTTATTGAGACAGCTTATGGACCTTCGAGATGTTCGATAAACAATGGAAGTTGTTGGTCTGAAACCAGGAAGGATCTAACTTTCTCCGCTTGTTCGGTTAAGTGACTGCTGATTTTTCCATTCAATTGTTGCTAAAGTGTTAAAATTTTTCTTACTTTTGTATGTTCTTATTCGATTGTTCAATGTAGAATTCAGAGACATCAGGATGTCGTTGCCCTCTAGGCTTCCAAGGAGATGGTCTGAAATGTGAAGGTGAAAAATTTTCGTGTCATTGTAAAATAGAGTTTCCTTGACATTGTCTCTGACCAATATCTTGATTCCTTCATAACTAGACATTGATGAATGCAAAGAGCAATCAGCTTGTCAATGTAATGGTTGCAAATGCAAGAACAATTGGGGAGGATATGAATGCAAATGCTCCAATAATAGTCTTTATATGAAAGAACAAGACACTTGTATAGGTATGTCGAAAATGATGAAAACTTGTTTCAATTTTCAGAACCAAATCTCAATGTTTTTCCAGTTTGTGCAGAGAGAAGAAGTGGATCAAGAAGCAGATGGTTGTTCACAGTTGTGGTTCTAATCGCCATTGCAGGCATTTCTTTAGCTTCTTATATGTTCTACAAGTACCATATTCAGGTAATGCCACTTTGCTTACTAATAATGTATGATGCATCATTATTTTATCTTTACATGAAAACTACAATGCAGTCTTACATGGATTCAGAGATCGTGTCTATAATGTCTCAGTACATACCACTCGAAAGCCAAAACATTAATGAAGACTCCAAAGCAAATAACAACTCTGGTCGTCTGTAATAAAGACTGTTGATTGTTGGTTGGGGTATTTTTTTTATCAAGAATCAAAATTTTGAAGCGTTAATCTGATGTTCTGAAAATTATATACAAGAAGTCTCAAATTGAGTAAAACAAAAACATATAATTAATGCTTTCATTGAGAGTTGAACTCAAGACCTCCCGCTTACTAAACGGGTGCTCTAACCAACTGAGCTATGAAAGCCTTTGAACATAAATTCAGCAATTCACAATAAATCTTAGTTCATAAAAAATGGTAAATTGGGCGGAGGACTAGAGTAAGAAAGGCAGAATATTAGAGTGGTTTTATTCAAGGAAGAGAGCTTTTGAGAGGTTGGTTACACATAAAGATTTACATTTCTTTGCCTTATTTCTTGATTTCTAAGATCTTGGCACGATTTGCTGATGAGCCATATCGAATGTTGCATGAAGACCAAGCAAAAAATAGTATAGCAACATGACTAAAGTGCAAACTCCAAACCTTACAAAAGCCTGAGCTCCCAATGATCCCATTAGAAAGATATTCGTCACGATCGATAAGCACGGGAGCCACGGGACTAACGGTACTCCCCACACTTTCGGACTTCTTTGCTGAGGAACAAAGAATACAATCCCAAAAGTCCCCAAGAACCAGAAAGGAGTGGTTATTGTGTATCCGATCCATGATCCTTTCACCTTCATTCCCCAATAAGCCGAAGTACCCATTGAAGAAGCAACAACGATTAGGATGCAAATGATAAGCTTAAGAAGATCAGCTCTTGGAGTGGTTTCTCTCACGTAGTATCTCCTCACGAGTAGTGCGATAGGCATCATTGTGAAGATGAAGAGAGTACTTATCGATAAGAGGCTCGCTAAAACATCTAAACCCGAAAAGAAAGCAATGAGAGCACTTGGAATTGCTACAAGGAGGTTTGCGTATATCGGTGTTCCTGTTTTGGGATGGACGAGGGCAAACACAGGCGGGATCATGTGTGTACGTGCGATGTGAGTAACGTATCGCGCTTGTCCCAATGCTCCTACTAGAAGAACTGTGGTCATCCCTTTGAGAGCACCAAGAGCCACCAAGTACTTTCCCCATTTCATTCCAACGCTCTGGAAAGCTACCGAGTAAGCTGCGTTTGGATCGATATCGGTGTACTTCTGCATCATACTCAAGCATAATGCCATCAAACAGTATATCACCATGATTATCGACATTGAACCGAGTAACCCAATCGGTATGTCTCTTGATGGATTCTTGGTTTCTTCAGCCATTGTTGCTATATTATCGAATCCTCCATATGCAAAGTACACAACTGCAGCTGCTCGGAACACTCCCTCGGGTCCATAAGGCAAGAATGGAGTCAAATTCGAGGAGTCGGCGTGGATAAAACCCGCGATGATGACAAAAAGAATCACTAAAGTGTTAATAGCAGAAGCTATCCAGTTGAGCAATGAAGTCTTCCGGGTGCTGATCGATGCAATCGTAACCGCAAGGACTAAAACCACTACGGCTATTGGGTCTAGGAGATCAAAACCAGGACTGGTGAGATCTGTTTTGATCCGTAGAGCGTTCGGATTGCGATTCAGAAGAGTAGCAAAATATGAAGTCCAGGCTCTAGCAACAGCTGCAGTTCCAACTATACTCTCAAGAAGTATATTTCCCGCGGTGATGAACGCCGCAAAATCCCCTAGCTCGATCCGTAAATAGGCGAAGGAACCACCAGCCACGGGGATTTCCACAGCGAATTCAGTGTAGCAGAAGACAGAGAGCATAGCAGAGAAACCTGAAACAACATAAGACAGTACAATAGCTGGTCCTGCTTGTTCATGAGCTTCTTGACCTGTCAAGACAAAGATTCCAGCTCCGATCACTGAACCAAATCCAAACCAGACTAAATCCCACCATGTGAGACACCGTTTCATGTCGTGCTCGCTCTGTTTCCTGAGTTCGAACCGCTCGTTCTCATCATCAGACCTACTAACCAACCTGTTCTTGAACCTGGAACACGTCTGAGACAGAGCAGCTCTGTAACTACCAAAGCTCTGAAAAGATTCCTCAGGAAAGAAATCTCTTTTGCTCCATCTCCAGTACC